TGTCCCCACAGTTTTACTCCATTCATGTCATCATAGTCAACTCTACTTTGAAGAGGCAGCTCTTCCCCATTGTATTCTGGCAATATAGCTGACAATATTCTGGTGCTATTTATAATGTTTTCATTTTCTGACACTATATCTGACAATGTTCCGCTTCTGTTCTCCTTCTTCCTAGTCATTCTTAGTTTGGAAGTTCCACTGAAATCTGTCTTAATGGGGACCCTGCTGGTATTTAAAATATCAGCGGCATAGTTTCCAGTATCTCAGCAACATGCGAGCCACCACAGTATGACAACTCGTGGGACCAATAAATAACATCATGTTAAATGGAGAAAAGATTGAGATTTTCAAAGACTTAATTTTGTTTCAATCACGACCAATGCTCATGAAAGCAGCAGTTTAGAAATCAAAAGATGTATTATATTAGTCAAATCTGCTGCAAAAGACCTCTTTTAAGTGCTAAAGAGCAAAAATTTCAGGTTCCTCTGACCCAAGCCATGGTATTTTCAATCATCTCATATGCATGTGAAAGTTGGACAATGAATCAGAAAGACTGGAGAGGAACTGATGCATTTGAATTATGATGTTGGAGAAGAATATTGAAAGTACCATGGACTGTCAGAGAATAAACAAATCTGTCTTGGAAAAAATACATCCATAGTGCTCTTTAGAAGCCAGAATGGCGAGACAGTTGCTTGTACTTTGGGGCCAGACCTCTAGTCACTAGGAGGTTGTGGAGGAGAAGTGAGGAGAGCATAGCCAGCTTATCTGCTTACTGCATCAGCTCAGTGCAAAGGGAAGTGCCTGGAGTCCCGTGTCTTCAGCCACCATGTACCCTCCCTCTGTGTGGGTCCCTAATCCAAATAACCAGGAACTAAAGGAGCTCTGGTAGCATAGTGGTTACAAATTGGGCTGTGAACCTCAGGGTCAGCAGCAGTTCAAAACTACCAGCTGTTCCATGGGAGAAAGATGAGGCTTTCTGCTTCCATAAAGATTTATAGCCTCAGAAACCCTGTACAGGGTCTCTATGAGTTGGAACCAACTCCACGGCACATAACAACAACAACAATGCTGGTGAGGAAGGAGCTCTGGTAGCGCAGCGGTTACAAATCAGGCTGCTCTGCAGGAGAAAGATGAGGCTTTCTGCTCCTGTACAGATTTACAGCCTCGGAAACCCTATGCAGGGTCTCTATGAGTCAGAATCGACTCCACGGCACATAACCACCACCACCAAATCTTCTTAATATCTATATTGTCCATAGTATTTTCTTTTGTCCTAAAAATTTTTCATCAGGCTGGGAGAAATCTTTTCAAAGCCTTCTCTGGTGTAGAGTGGGTATCAGATGTTCATTATTAAGAAAGAATCTGTTGATCCCAATTGATTTACATATGTTCAAGTTGTACCAGTTATTTTGAAAAACAGAAGATAAACAATTTCTTCTCATTTTGGAATTAATAAAAATTTATTCATTTTCTAGTAATGCTACTTACAAAGTTTTCAATTTTATTATTTTGTGTTCAAGCCTGACAAGAATAGAAAACCCTTTGTCAAAAGAAACATTTTTAATCATCCCTAGAAATACTGTTATTAAGTGCCATCAAGTCAGTTCTGACCTGTAGCGACCTTATAGCTTTGGTGAGCTTGAACTGCCAACCTTGTGGTTCAAACCTCTAAGCACTTAACTGGGGGAGCTATGTTTGCTGACCCACCAAGCTAGAGCTGAGTACCTTCAGACTGAGGCTTATATTGGGTAGAGTGCCCTTTGGGTACTTATCAGCCACACTAAAGGAACTTTGTAACACTGCCTAAGCAGAGATGCCAAGGACCAGAGAGAGGCATGTCTGACAGGAAGAATTTTATGTTGAGTATTTCTGATCCTGAATTGTAACCTTTTAACTTCCCTATTAAACTCCATCTTTGTAAATATTGTCTGAGAGTTCTGCAATGGATTATAAAAACCAGAGCAGAACTAGATAGTGCTATGGGAGGGATAGTTGGTATTAGAATTAGTAATGGAGGTCATGATTGGTTATGTATGACCTCCATTTCATACAAATCAGTCTTGGGCTGATGTTGAATTTGATTCTCCTTTCCTCTTATAAAGTCAGAGGATGTCAGAAATTGCCTCTACACCATTTGCACAATCTCCTTAAAGATTCCTGGGACTTGCAAACTCAAACAATATCCTTTCTGGGTTTCATAAAGATACACTTGAAAGAGCAAGCAACCTTACAAAACAGGCAGGAGCTTCCACCTCCCCCCGCAAACTGGAACCCATCAAAACATTCAGAGAATGAACTGAAAAAGTACAAATGAAAACACAAACAAAAGCCAACAGTAAATCTCTAAGGGAAGGGGGGGGGAACCAACTCTATTCAAGGAAGCAGAATTCTATTTGAGAGGTTACTCATCCAAGACAACACAAACTGGGAATAAACAGAATCCACAAAGTAAAACTATGAACTCCTACAAGTTACAGTGATCCAGGCAATATTTATATTGCTAAATCAGGAACAAACAATGTAATATTTATAAAAGGCAAAAGCAGTTAACAAATGTGGGGGCTTTATAGCAATTGGTTAAGGCTTAATTGATTTAGTTACTACTTGGTGATACTGGGCTTTGCTGATTAGTTACCATTTAGTGACCAAAGGGGGTTCACAAAGCAGTCACAAAGCAATCATAAGACATCCTTTTCTGCTAATATAATTTTCTTGTACAATGTGGTTGCCAAAAGTGCCTTGCATAATTTGGTTACAAAGAAAACATTTCTTTATATGCCAGATTAAATCTGTTTGAAATTTAACCTTTTAGAGTACAGTAGGCTTTTACAAAGTGGGATTTAATTTCAGGCCCAAAAGCAGTTATCATTAAACTGAGTGTCCCAGAGATTTAAATTTTAGGGTGCTGTGGGTGTTCTATCCCATCACAGGAGTCCTAGGTGTGATGCTGTGGGTTTGAACTGCAAGGTCGGTGGTTCAAGCTCACCAGCTGCTCCTCAGAAATCCTATACAGGGTCGCTATGGGTTGGAACTGACTCAACAGCATTTAACAACAACAACATCCCATCACAAGCCAAGTCTGCCCCTCTCTGGCTGGCCCTCGGACATCCTGATTGTCTTTGAAAGGAACTAATCAGATAGCTCCAGTAGCTCTGGATTCTCTGCCTAGGGCTGGGCCATTGTGGTGTTGCTTAAATGTGACATAGGGGGGCCAAGTCTGGCCCAGGTTGCCCACCTCTGCCTAGCAGTTTGCACGTTGCCCAGAAACATCACTCCTGTCTGAGGCAGTGAGAACTGAGACTGAGAAGCCCTTTAATCTGGACTGGCACCGGCTCAGCCTTGCCCTCCTCAGTCAGCCAGATAGTTGTCTTCCAAATTTCATGGCAAAGATGAGTGAGTGCCTCCTGTGTCGCCTCACTTTCTTGAAAGATTTCAATTTTGATTCCATCAACTCCTGGTACCTTGTTCTTCACCAATTCCTTCAATGCACCTTGGACTTCCTCCTTCAGTATCACTGGCTCTTGATCATATGCTACCTCTTGAAATGGTTGAACATGAACCATTTCCTTTTGGTAGAGTGACTCTGTGTATTCCTTCCATCTTCTCTTGATGCTTTCTGTATCATTCAATAAGGGGTTACTAAAATTTTATCCCTAACAATAAAAAGGAATCTTGGTGTAGTACGGTAGGATAAGCATTGGACTGCTAACCAAAAGGTCCACAGTTCAAAGCCACCAGCCACTCCTCAGAAATCCTATATGGGGTTGCTATGAGTCAACAGCACTAAACAACAACAGTGATGGAAAAGTGAATCTAGTATGCCACTTAATGGATATAGAGGTAAGCAAAGTGTATTGTGGACCCAGTTTATATGTACCTTCCCAGATTTGATCATTTCCAACACTTCCATTCTTGCTTCTCCATCACTTGCTCAGTACTGGGTTGCAGCAGTTGTTTCCATTGATTCATTTTCTAACATTACTGTTTGTCTTAGCCACCTTCTGGATAAGGGACAGAAGACTGTTCAGAGTCTATCGGACTTACTGAAATCAGTAGTAACATGCCCAATTAAAGCTGACTAATCCCCCAGGAGCTCTGGTAGCATAGTGGTTATGAATCGGGCTGCGAACCGCTGGGTCAGCCGTTTGAAACTACCAGCTGCTCCATGGGTGAAAGATGAGGCTTTCTGCTCCCGTAAAGATTTACAGCCTCAGAAGCCCTGTTCAGGGTCGCTATGGGTCGGAACCAACTCGATGGCACTTAATAACAATAACAATCCCCCAGCACTTCTAGACACAGGTAACACATAGGGAGTAGGGTCTGTCTGCCTTAGCATCTGCCTAGTGGGGCTGCTATCCCAACCAAGAAGCACATGAAAATTAATACCCACTTGGGAAAAATTTGACCAATGAGATAGAGGAGACAAGAGGGAGCCAACATGCAAATTCTTGCTTCTCTCTCCTCGGGACTGTTCAAAGGCATGGCGACTAATCCTGAGACATTATTCCTTCTTCCTTGGTACCTTCAGATTGTATTCCCCAATACAGTTCATAGATTTTCTCTCAGATTCTGTTTTCTAAAGGACTCAGGCTAAACAACATTACCTGCTACAATGGTAGAGTTGAGTAATTGTAACAGGGATCATAAGGCCTACAAAGTCTAAAATATTTCATCTTTATGGAAAAAGTTTTCCAAACTCTAACTTAAAGCATTCATTTCAATAAATATTCATCATGTAGTGGGCATTAAGGAGCTCTGATAGTGTAGTGGTTACAAGTCAGGCTGCTAACCTCAAGGTTAGCAATGTGAAACTACCAGCCGTTCCGTGGGAGAAAGATGAGGCTTTCTGCTTCCATAAAGATTTACAGCCTCAGAAATCCTATACCACCAGTGGACATTATGCTAATTGCAAATATATGGCTGAAATAAAATAGTTCTCTGTCACTTCAAAATGTCTCTCAAGGGAATATAACAGAAGTTGTGTTTTGCATACATACCTAGAGTCTTTAATACAGTGGGCAGCTGTGAGGACCCACCTCTCTTTCACTAAGCTTCCTCCACATATATGAGCAAGAATCCTGCCAGACTGAATTTGAAGGCTCACTATCCATGGCCACGCACCAACTTGAGCTTCTGTGCCTCCTATAATCCGAGAGCCCTTTAACACATCCACCAGTGGTCCTGTTCCACAACCTAAAAATAAAAAGGATACATTATTTGGATTAAACCGCTATATTACATGTCACTTCTTATTCTGAGCACATCAATATAATCATTTAAATTCCTTTTTTTTTAATGATAAAGCAAGCTGTATATCAAAGGCATTCACGTATTTTAAAAGATTATTAAAGGAACGTTAAGACAGAGAAAACAACTAGTGGTCTGCATCTGCCATAAGAGAGAAAGAAGGAAACCAAAGAGAAGAAACTAGTCCACAGGACTAATAGTCTACATGAACCATAAGACCAGAACAACTAGATGGTGCTCAGCTATCACCACTGACTATTGTGATCAGGAACCCAATAGACGGATCCAAATAGAATAGGAGCAATATGTGGAACAGAAGAAGAAAGTCCGGAACTACTGTAAAAGACTCCCTAAGACTATCACACCACCCTGAGGTAACTCTTTAAACCTTGAATCAAAACTATTCTATGAAGTCATGTTTTAGTTAAATAACAGATTGACTCATAAAATAAACAATATAATTCATGAATATTGTATTCCTTGTAGCAATCATCTATATGAGGCCAAGCAGGCAGTATTTACTCAAAAGTTAAGAGAAGGCAAAGGGATTACTGAAGTGGAACAAACAGAACAGACATATGAGAAAGTTGACACACTGTGAAAAATGTAACCAATATTACTGAACAAATTGTGTAGAAAATTTGTTCAATGGGAAGCTAATTTGCTGTGTAAATGGTCACCAAAAATACAATAAAATATTTTGTTTTTAAAAAGAGCCTAAGAAAAAACACACCTTAATTGATTACATGCAAATAGGCATTAAATCAGTTTAGTTCTTTAATTTAAAAACTGACTCCCTGAAATGGAGTCCTCTTGTGGCACTATAGGATAAGCTCTGAACTACTAACCTTAAGGCCCCTATTCAAACCCACTAGCAAATTCACTCCAGCAGTTAACAACAACTCCTCAAAACTGGGATATAAAAATGAGGTAAGCTGCCCTGGCCGGGTCTCACGTTGCTATTTGTGCAAAATAATGATTAAAGCGTCTGGAACCGGTATGTTAAGAGTTCTTCCTTTTGTCATTTAACTTTTGGGGCTAATTTTCCTCAACTATAATATGAGTCTGAATGGACTCCACAGCACTTAACAACTATTAATGTATTAAAATGTGACTGGAAACTATGTTGTTGTGGTTATGTGCCGTGGAGTCGGTTCCAACACATAGCGACCCTATACAGGGTTTCCGAGGCTGTAAATCTTTACGAGAGCAGAAAGCCTCATCTTTCTCCCGCGGAACAACTGGTAATTTCGAACTGCTGACCCTGAAGATTCGTAACCACTACGCTACTAGAGCTCCTTGGAAACTATGTAGGTTTGTAAATTTTTGACTAAAGGTGGTTGGGACAACGAAAAGAGAGGACCCAAATTCAAACACTGTCAAAGAGGAAGAAAGACTAAAGAATCCGTCCAATGAGAGGACTGAACAGACAATGCTTGGCGCTGGACCCTTCCCTTTCCTGCCCGTACCCTCTTTCTGCTGCACTGCCTTCCTGTGAGCAGCCTCAGCGCCCACCAGACCAGCGGCCTGTGCCCGCGAGGGACTGAGCCTACTCATCTCGGAGAGTGAGAGGTCCTCGTAGTACCACAGAGAGCTCCCCATATACAGCAGCACAGCGCTCAGGAGTCCCAGGCCCATTGTAGAACTCACAGCAGGCAAGATGGCAGTCAGGCATTTCCGGTCCCCACAGGCCCTGGGCCTGTCAGGCTCCAGGCTCGCGCAGGGCACACTCAGCGTATGAGGCCTGTGAAACTCGCACTGAGTATGAGGCTGCGCATCACGTGAAGCAAGGCGCATAGGGCAGCAAGGTATGTGAAAGGGGCGAGGTGGGGAGGTGTGGGGCAGGTGGGCAGTAATGGTGGATGAGGTACAAGGGGCAGGTGAGACCTGTGAGGGGGCCGGGATCTGTGATTGCAGGAGGCAGGAGTTGTGACAAATCAAGCCGTCCAGTATCCACTAGGACAAAATGTACGTGAAATTCAGCCCTGTCTGGGGGTTCGTTAACAGATGAGCCTGTCCAGGCCAGACGGACACACGTCCACTGTCCAATGGGAGGACGTGCAGGAGCTCGAGCAGAGTGCAGCCCTGCTAACCCAGAGGAGACTCCCAGAAGACGGCAACATGGAGCCCTAATCTGAGTGTGCCAAACCAGGGAGGGGAGCGACAAAGCAAATAAATGGAGAGGTTGGTATTTGAGACAACACAGCCATCGAGGTATCCTAGAGTGAAAACTCAGTCTGTAAAATTAAGAGCTTTATTGAAAGTCACGAGATGGCCCAGACGGGAAGACGTCAAAACTCAGGAGTAATAAAGACTACTTTGCCAGATAGTGAAAGAAAAATAAAATATTTGTACATTCAGAGCAGGAACGAAAAGTTACAAAATCATAATTAAACTAAAAGACAAGGGAAAGAAAAAAGTGCAATGTCTAGAAGCAGGGATTTAGCAGGAGTAGGTGGATAACACATCAATGGGATTACATGATGGGTTAAAGGCTGGCACCCCTTAGGTTATTACAACATGCTCAACATGCAGTAGCAGGACAGGTTTTTCTAGTGACCTGTTACTAAAATTGCTTCTTCAATCAAGTCCTTAGAAGCCAGGATGATGAAACTTGTCTCTGATACTTCGACATAGGGACCGGTCCCAGGAGAAGGACATCAGAAGAAGACCCCTAACGGGATGGAGTGGCACAGCATCAATGGGCTCAAGCATAACAACAATTGTGAGGATGATGGAGAAACACAACAGTGTTTCATTCTGTTGTACATTGGGTCGCTTTGAGTCAGAGCCGGCTAGAAGCATCTAACAACAACATCGGTGTATTATTATTCTACTATTTATGTTGTTTTTGTTGGAGTCCTGGTGTGGTGCTGTAGGATAAGCACTGGACTGCCAACCACAAGATCAGTAGTTCAAATCTACCAGTCGTTCTCGGAAGCCCTATACCGGGTCCCTGTGAGTTGGAACTGAAGAAAACCCTGTGAGTCAGAACTATCAGGGTACGTCAAAGAAAAAACTAAATTTAAGGTTTCTTCTGCATTTGTGTAATTAAAGCTCCAGAGTCAAACAATATAGCCTTTCTTCCCTTTAGCAGCGCTCTTTAATATAGTTTATTAAATATAGTATAGGGCAGAAGCCTGCTTTATACTTGAGGATAGGTATGCTGATGGCTTGCCATAATGAGAAATTTCTAAGTTTGCAAATGAAGCTGCAGAAGAGGGAAAGGAGAAAAGCACCCAGCAATACAGCCAAATGTCAAGCCTGAGCTAAAAGGGTGTCTCTGAGAATTACATTGCGCTGGGCTTACCCAGAATTTTAAGAACAATGGTGGGGTTTTTTTTAATGTGTGATTTTTAGTTGTTTTGTCATTGCTACCTGAACTATGCTGAACTTTGCCTTACAGTAGCCAAGAGAATAGTGTGAGCTTTGGTAGTTTGAGAAATTAGTCACGTGGTAAAGATTTAAAGTAGGGATCAATAAAAGGACTGCTATCTTGTTTATGTCATTCTTCTGAGAATAGTTGGTAGCATTAAATCAAAGGACAATCTCAATTGTGGGTTTACAGGTAGTAACAAGTGGAAAAGGGAAAAGAGAGGACCAAGGCTGCTCAGTAGGTGGGAGGCAGATGATATCGGAGAAACAAGTTGCACCATGAAGTGATCTAGGTACAGATAAGAAACTAATTTTGACCTCTAGCATGATGGCAGATTAGGCAAATATGCTACCCAGACCCTCTGTAATAAAGGTATGAAAGACCACATGAAACAAATATGGATGATAATCCTATAACCCTAAATTTCAGAGGCAAGGATAGAGAAGTGAATTGAATACTGATTGGAGAAGAAGCTGAACAAAAGTGGCAAGAGAGGAGACAAACGGAATGGGTGAATTATAGCTGTTGTAATACAATGCAACCATTGTGAACTTTGGTAAGTAGCATTCAGTTGAGACAGCAGTCTGATAATCAGCTCCACAAATGCTCACAATGGTGTCTGGTGACCACAAAGGTGAGATCCTCCCCTTGTTCTCCACACCCTCCTGGTAACCAGGAGTATGACCAGCCTCCGCCTTCACCCACTGTTATTTGCACAGTTCTTGCTCTTCCTGAAGTTGGAAGCACGCCCTTGTGGATTGGGCAGTGGGTGCATGCCATCCTCATGTCTGGAGATATGTGTACTATACATCCTCAGACCAGCAGAACAAGCATTACCATATGGGTGAACTGGCCCAACCACCCCTGGATGGGCAGGTACTCCTTCCAGAACCAGCTTCCCTGCCCCCAACTGCCCTCCAGGCTCAAAAGAGCTCCTTCTGGGAAAAGTCACTTTGAGGCCAGCCATACTCTGAGCAGACACAAACTCTTTTCAGATCCCATACCCTAACCAAAGGCACCTTCTAGACCAGCAGGAACACATTCTAGGACCATTTCACCCCGTCAACCCTCATGACTTCCTTTGACTGACAGAACATCATAATGGCTTCCCTGCCGTCACCCTTTTTCTCCTTTCTGGGCCCTGTTTCCTTACACCCCAGTTTTATCCTATGTACTTTTCCCTTTCCTTTTCTTTCCATTACCTTGTATTTTCCCCCTTTATTTCTCTGCTTTCCTTCTTTCTTTTCTTTTTCCTTCCCTATTTTTGAAGTCCTGGTGTGGTCCTGTGGGCTAATGCGCCAAATTGCAAAGCCATTTGAACAGCAAGGTCGGCATTTCAAGCTCACCAGCTGCTCCTTGGAAACCCTATACAGGGTTGCTGTGGGTTGGAACCGACTGGACGGCACTTAACAACAACAACAAATTTTCTTTTAATTTGATCTTACTATTCACTTTTCCTCCTCTCTAGTTTTATTGTTCTCTTTCTTTTTTCTCTTCTACTATTTTTATTTTCATTTCCTTTTTATCTTTTCACTATTAAATTCTTTTTTTCTTGCTCTTGTTTGCTTTACCACCCCTCCTTGTTTTTTCCTTCTTCTTCTTTTTTTTTTTCTATTTGTTTCTGGTTTTTTTCTTTTGTTTTTATCTTTTTTCTTGTCCAACCTGGTGGAAGACAGCAACCATGCCCACATGGCCCAGCTACACCTCTACCTCCTGCAACCCCACCCACTGCACCACTACCCACTCCTGTACCACCTGGTCAATGATAGGCAGTGGCTAACACTAGCCAAACCCACCCCCAATTGCACTACACAAACAGAAAACAAATAACTGTGCACAACTCACATTCTCTATCACAATCACATAGAGAAATGTAGTGAACACCCAACATACAGCATCTACTAAATACAAATGCTAAAGGGTGTTCTTTGAACTGAGAACCAAAAACAGCAGACAACAACCTGAGATTACCATACATGTCAACAACACCATAGAAGTATTTAAAGTAAAACAAACCTACAAGACTGAAAATAGAAAGCCAGAGATACCAATTTATAATGAAGTTAACCACAAAGCAAAAAGGGAAATAATGTACAGAACTTCCAAATATTAAGGATGCAAGTATACTTCAAGACAAAACAGACTGTGCTAAATAGGGGGAAAATTTTTAAATAAATTACAGGGTAACCAAAGAGAAAAATAATATACTTGCACATCAAAATAAAAAAAGAGGAAAATCAGAAAGATTTAGTAAACATTAACACAACAGAAATAAAAAGAAAACCCACAAGCAAAATGAACTCAGCACAGAAAATTATGTGGAACAAAGAAACCCGAAGAATTCAGGAAAACACTACAGTAACAAACATTACTGTTTGTTGTAAAAGAATACAACCCTCACTCATACCTTTCCTGATTTAAACCATTCATTATCCCCTTGTGTTCAAACGACTGCTTCTTGATCTATGCGCAGGTTCCACATGAGGGCAGTTAAGTGTTCTGGAATACTCATTTTTTTCCCCAGTTTTTTTTTTTTAAGTTTTTATTGTGGACTGAGTGATAGTTTACATGGGAGAATATTGACTTTACACCTTCTTTTCATTACAGTGATTACAATCTGCTTCATGTATCATCAGTCAACAGTATTTGTTTCCATTCCCTCTGTTTTGGGGGATTTTTTGGGGAGGGATATATACAAAAACACTCAGGAATATATAATAATTTAAACAGCCAAAGGGCACATTCTGGAAGCCTACCTCCTGGCCACCAGCACCCAATCCCTCTCTTTCCATGAGTCCAGAGTTCTCAGCTGCTCCCTCTCTCCATGTCCTCATCTCTGCCTCCATCTCTGGTGTCACTGCTTCTCTGGATAAAGTCTCGCATTTTGCCAGTGCTCTTCTCCCTTGATGGCCCTAGGGTCCTCTGCTTCTGGAATGTAAAATTAACTACTCCCCCATTTTTGTTACAAAACCTCCACCTTTACAGTTGTGACAGTCACAATTAGTCAGGATAACAATTATTCACTATTGAATCATCAGAATCCTATCCCCATCTCCTTTCACCAGACCCGTCTAAAGAAGATGAAAACTATTAAGTGGGAACTCTACCCTCCCCACACACTCTTAAACTAAACTCCCTTTTGAAAACTTGTAAGCCAGTCACTTCGTACTTCTATCACCCCCTCATTTTAGGTAGCCAATGTCTAAGTTGCCCTTCCCTATATACCCTCTATACAGAGGGGATAGGATTGATACTTGATGTGAAGACTCCATCCCTGTCAGTTGGTACCTTGAGCTACTACAATCATGAATATAAGTCAGGTTCATCAAATTGTAACAATTTACACTCATTTCCTTCATCAAAAAAAAAAAATTTTTTTTTTTTAAATCTTCCTCTAGTCGAGTTCTGATTATCAAGCCAT